AATAGGCCTAATACTAAGGTATATACAAAAAATTTCATATGAGCTGGGGGGGCCATGGCCCAGGTTGGCCCCCACCAATCTCCGCCACTGGGTGACGAGCACGCGGGATCCTTCTCGGCGGCTCTCGCGGCTTGGCGAGGCGGGGTGGGAGCCCTCCTCCTAGGCTCCAGTGGTGGCACACTCAGGCAGTGGCTGGTGCGCCAGGGATCCCACGGTGGCACTGTTGCTGCGGTTGGTCGCCGGATCTAGGCGGCTGGATCTGGGGCTTTGAAGGCGGTCGAGACGGTGCACAAGTTGTTGGGTGGATTTCTTGGGAAGGATCCGGGTGAAAACCTGGTCTTCGGTTGATAGCCGAAGCCGATGATGACGATGCCCTTATCATCGTTTCCTTCATGAAGGCATCATCGAGGTGAAGCTCCCAACACCACTCAATACCTCCGGGGGAAACCCTAGATCAGCTGATCGGATGTTGACGGCATTCATGTGTCGTAACCCCCTTTTGGGCGGCATTCTTAGAGGTGCACTCGGCTTCGCGGGACCAGCGGACGACTTCTTTGGTGGAGCGGTGCTTCATCCTACACATTGATGGCGACGGATCTTGACGGCGTGGTGCAGTGCAGATTCAGAGTTCGATGTGGGAGGATGGACCCGCGCAGGAGGACGGCGCTGTCTGGCGTCGATGGCAGAGAGACCTGACACGGTAGATGCAACAGTACAACTCTGAAGATGGACTCATGGCAGGTGGCTACGGCGGCCTCATACCAGGCAGGCGTCCTGGTTGAGGAGTGCGTCAGACTGGTAGGTGCCCCATACCAGGCAGGCGTCCTAGTTGGGACCTCAGGTCTTAGATGTTTAGGTTTGGCTGCGATATCTGTTTGGTATTAGGCCCAGGCTATCAGCGCCCCTTCATCAATTGGATAGGTGTAGCGACAGTTGTTGCTTAGACGGTGGCTTTAGTCTTGCTGTTGTATGACTTTGTAAGGTCTTGTGAGAATAATTAATAAAGTGGCCGCATGCATCGTCCGGATGCAGAGGCCGGGGGTCATTCTCCTTTTCTAAAAAAAAAGCTGCAGCATCCAGTTATCCGAATCCGAAGACAATTATTTTTTACTAAAACTTCTTTAGTTGAACGTGAATTGGAGCTTGTTTCACTGGAACTGAGAAAAATATGAAAATATTGGATAATTACAAATGATATCGATATCTGACCGAACCAGTCAGAATCTGTTAGCAACAATTTCTGCATTCGCATTGGTTTCAGGAATATCCCTATATGATTGTGAATATGGCCACGGAAATACGATTTCTGGGAAACTCGTAGTACTATGTATCTGAACACATCTGTAGAGCCCAACTGTTCATGTTAGGTTTTTTTCTTCTTCTATATTGATGGTTGTACAGGTGCATATAGGTGCCGGCATCGAGCGATTTAATACCAAATTGCAGTTCTACACTGACGCTATGCAGCGTCGCATGCTCAGCCAATAGTCTCCTTCCAACGCACTGAATACCACTTCAATGATGCTTGAATTTACCCACGAATATGTCATGTCCACCTACTTAAGACAGGGAGAGGTACTGCTCTCTTCTCCTGTCCCCCATTGTTCCCACTTCCCACCCATCTTTGTGTTCCCTCTCGCAGTCCTCTACTCTTCCACGACTACCCAACCACCACTTATTGTTTGATTTGTGATATGCAACTACTTTGCTGAATTTACTGTTGAAAACCTTTATGCCCGTTAAGTAGAAGGAAATGTCAGTTAATTTGAAGGTCGACGTGTTTTGACTAGTAGAGCTTTTACTGTTTCATAAAGGCTGTTATATTTGTACTTACGAAAGGAACACAATCATATCGTGACTCTTTCCCTCTCATGACTGCGGCGGCTAGGGCACTCCACAAAGATATGTAGATACAGTTCAAGTGTAAAACAACCTAAAATTTACCAAATCAATATGATATATTCCGATGCCCCATTGTCCATATGATCATGAACAGACTTCTCATGTGATGCATTTCTATCAACAAAATAATTGTAACCTTCCAAAAAAGAAAAATGATATATTCAATATAAACAAAAATAACTTACTGAATCAAACTTCAGGAAGATCAAATGTTTCAGGTTTGGAACCAGCTGACATCAAATTAAGTTTCAAGTCTTCCAACATATGATAGATATCTTTGCTTTCTGTGTGTAACTTGTCTGCAGTGACAAAGGAATGTACACTGCCATCAACCTCGATCCAGCTGAGCCCAGGCTTCTTCACCACCCTATGCTCCTCCATCCTGCTTCTTGTCCTCTTCAAGTCGTCCCATTGACCAGCACGTGCATAGGCGTTTGATAACAAAACGTACGAGCTGCCATGGCTTGGCTCTGTGTCTGCCAACTTCTGGGCAGCAACCTCTGCCATGTCGACATTGCCATGGGTTTGGCAAGCAGCTAGTAGTGAGCTCCACATCACAAAGCCCTGCTCTTCTGGTAGACTGCTAGCGAGGTTGAAGGCTTCTTCCAAGAACCCAGCACGACCAAAAAGATCCACCAAGCAGCCATAGTGCTGGATCAATGGCCTGATACCCATGCCACGCATTAGGTTGAAGTACCTAAAACCTTCATCAACAAGACCCCCATGGCTGCAGGCATTCAAGACGGCCACGAAGGTGACACCATTCGGCTTGACGCCCAATTGCCTCATCTCGGCAAACAATTTCAGTGCCATCTCTGAGTGACCATGTGCTGCGAAACCCCCAATGACAGAGGTCCAGTGCTCCACATTCTTGCTGATGACGCTTGAGAAGCACTGATATGCTGCACCCATGCACCCACACCTTGTGTACATGTTGATCAGAGCAACACCAAGAGCACCATCGAGTGAGAACTCCCGTCGGGTTATATAACCGTGTGCGCTCCTTCCAAATCCAAGCAGGCCGAGACTGCGAACAGCTGATACAAAGCCAACCATCGTGGTCTCATCTGGCGTCAAACCATAAACCTCCGTCATCTCAGTAAACAACTCCACTGCCTCTTGAGCCCACCCATGCCTCACAAAACCAGCCATAACAGTATTCCAAGAAGACACATTCCGCTCCGGCATTTCCACAAACATCTCCCAGGCGGCATCCAAGTCACCGGCTCTAACAAGCCCATCAAGAAGCACGTTCCAAGAAACCAATGTCCTCTCAGGCATTCCATCAAACACCTTCCGCGCGTCACCCAGGCGGCCGAGCCGCGCGTAGACACGGGCGAGGGAGGTGGAGGCGTAGACGCCGGAGACGGAACTAGGGAGTCCGGACTTGACGAGGAGGGCGTGGATCTGCTCGGCTTCGGCCGCCGCCGTCAGCAGCCGCGCGCAGGCCGCGAGGGCGGGCAACAGGGCGGGGTTGGCGGCGAGGGAGTGCCCGGCGACGTGGTGCACGCGGAAGGCGCGGAGAGCGGCGTCTCCCGGGGCCGGCGCGGCGCGGCATCGGATGGCTGTAGCGCGTTTGAAACGCGGCTTCCGCGGGAGAAGGGGTGTATCGGGGATGAGTGGAGTACAAACGAAGGGGCTCATGGGGGACTACCACACTGTACTACCATGGGCCTATGGTGGTGAGTCCGGTCCTCTTATGATTCTGCGTAGCTGTGTACTACTAATGTTTTCTTCTTCGAGGACAATATATACTCCACATGAAGAGATCCTTCTGGCTCCTTCAATCTCCTAGGTCAAGACCACCCACCACGATGTGCTGCACTCCTTCTAGATGCTCTGTGGCGCTAGGGTTCCGTCTGTCTTGCGGAAGCCTAAGGTTTCTAGGGAGAGGGTCGTGATGGCCAATCAGGATGAATCGGAAGGATCGAATCGTGGGAAAGAACATGTGGAGAACTTGCTGAGTCG